TAATATGGTTTAAAACGCATGATTTCAGTGTGATAGACATGATAATAAAAACCAAACAGATGTGTTTTAGCAGAGTACTTGAGGTACGAGGTGTGAAGGCAAAGCCCTATTCTGGAAAAGGGGTTGTTGATCGGTCATTTTGATAATGACTTGATAATTGCATTAAGCGTTTTTAAAAGATTTTTCCATTTATTTAGCATGACCACTCTTATGTCATTGACCCTTACATGTAGGGCTGGGTGATATGGCACAAAAAAAAATCTCAATAATTTCAGAACATTTGACAGATTCTCGATTTTTAAGATTTTTTAACTAGTCAATTTGAAAATGTAACTACAACATGATTCAAGTAACTTTTTCTTTATTAACCCTCTAGTTAAAGAAAATTCTATTCCAAGTGCACCACACATGAAGTTGTCAACATGAGGTAAATGTTAAACAAATCACTTGTTAAATATCTTTGCAGAAAAGATGCATTAACTACAACTACATCTTGTACAAACTTGTCTTATACATATTATATGTTCAGAAATAATACATGGAAAATGCTTTAAAAAATTCTCAAAAATCAAGGTAATTCAAATTCAAAATGACTGAAGGTATAACACCAGTAGACTATTATTGTCAGGAATATGGACCTGTTTTGATGTGTTTTCTCCCATGTGCTCCCCGTGACCCAGTTTTTTCCCTCTCATTGATTTGTCATTTGATTCACCTGTGTCTTGTAATTACCCCTCGTTAAGTTCTGTATTTAAAGTGTTGTGCCTTGGTTCCTTTGTCTGGTGTCGTCTATACTTGGTGATTTGTGAGTGTGCCTGTCTGCCCTGTGTTGCCCCTGTTTGGATCAATAAAGACTCATACTCGTTAAACTCCATCGTCTCTGCGTTCTGTAAAAACAATGAACAGCATCCTTTCAGCCTGTCACCATGATGCAAACATGAAATATCAGACATACAATAGTACTTCTTTACAGGGTTTTTTATTTGATTGTGCTGCTTTCCATTGTTTTTCTATGTAAACATGGAAAGCTGTTTCAGTTTGACTAAAACAGCATTCTAAAAATGTGGCACTCTAGTTAAAAAAGTTCAACTCCCATCTTCTTGCATTTTTTCCTATTCCACTGCCTGCGTCACATCTTTGTCAACACAAAAGTGCATTCTGTGTGAATGGCACCTATAGTGATATATTCTACTTATTGTCTTTCACAGAGCATGTCACACAGCGGTTAATCATGTGCACTGACATGCGGTTCATTCTTTTCTCTTTACTGTTATCATTGGCATATTGTCAAAGTGTATAATTCTAACGTTTGGTAATATTTCTATTCAAAATTGTGATTTCTCGATTTATAAAAAATAAAATCATGGCAAAACATTAAATTTGAATCAATCGATAAAATCGGAAAATTCGCCCTACTTATATGTGGTGGGAAAAAACCCCAAATAAAGATAATTCAAACACTGTACACAATAATTCACACACCCCACATATCATATAGAAAGTAATTTAACATGGATTAAACTGAAGTTATGAAACACACAGCAGATGTTGCAAAGCTATGAAATGCAAATTTATTCTCATCCCAACTGAGTTGAATGCACACATGTCCTCTCACAAACACACACACAGCATGGCCTGAGCAAACACACCCATCTCTACTGGTGATGCCAGCGGCCCTCAGAAAACCTATTAGGGAGAGAGCATCCAGTCAGCCGTTCACACAACTCATTGTGTTCCACAGGGCTGTGTCTCCAAACCAGACAGAGCATCACTTTAGTGCAAAAGCAACAGAAGACTCATTCCAGAGCCCAACCAGCCAGTTATAGATTCATCTGAACATACAACGTCAGTGGCTAGTAATGTCATGCACACAACTGCTGTAGCTTCCATTTGCTAAATTGAGTTTAAAATTGTTGGCAGACATTATATTTTCACTGACATGTCTTTATTGTGTCTCATAGTAAATATTACTGTGGCACTCTGGAGCTGATTTTATCTTCACTTTCACCACTTATGACCACTTATCTATCTTCAATTTGGCTGGAATGTAAGTGCTGAAGTCAGACGAACTTTTCAGAGTTTGGAATTACAAGTGGGATCAGAAAAGAACTGAAAATAATAAGGCAAAAAAAGAAAGACTGAACAACTTGGCAAACTGTGTTTTTCTGTATAATTTATATAGGTCTTTCGTTAATTGTATTTGTGAGTTTGTCTCTGGCTGATTTCAATTTTTTCCCCCATGCTTTTTATGGAGAGTTGAGGGGGAAAGAGGAACAGAACTGAGAAAAATTTGCATGCCCAATTCAAATTTGTGATGTATATTTGTGATGTACATTTGTGATTTATATTATATTATATATTATATGTTGTTTATTTATTAGGTCTATTATTTTCCATTTTCGCTTTTAGTAACAGTACAGATAAATTAAAATAATAGAATAGCATTTTTGTGGTGGCACCGATGAAAATAAAAAGTGTTCTGTACAAGTGGAATTATTATAATTAAATTTATACATTTAATAAAATTAAATTCAATAATAATAATATAACACTTTTATAATAATATTTGCTTATTTATTTATTTTATTTTTACTCAGACTATATTTACTATATTTACTAACTGAAGGACTGCTATATTCTCTTGATCTGTGGAGGGTGCTCTGTTCAGAAGTTGGCCACGTCATATCTTGTTTCAGTAGAGTATTTTTGGAGCACTTGACAATCGGCCCTGCTGTTTGTGCATTTGTTTGTTTGCGTGTGTGAGCAAGAGTGACAGAAATACACACATGTACCTATATATGAGTGACTTTCAGCAGGATTTCCATACTCTGATTGATGCGGTCTCATGGGGAGACGTGGATAGAAGACATGAAACAAGACACGCACAGCACAGAAGATCGCTAACAGTCCTCTCCTTGATCCACTGCCACTCCTTCAGCTGTGTGTCCAGACGACAGGGTGACCTCAGGGCTCTTTTCAGATCTTTAACTAAGACAAATAGGAGCTCAATGAATCTTCGATGATGTCAACATGACCAGCAGTAACAGCAGCTCAACAATAAGTATTTTGTCCTGCTGCTCTGGATGGCCCTGTAGATTTTTGTACTTTCACCCTACTAACATTTTCTTTCTTCATGAAAATTAAGCATTTTATTTTTAGCAACACACTGTTGTGCTATGCTATATACGTGTGTATAGTGTGTATGTGTGTGTGTGTGTGTGTGTATATGTTTTGGGTACAAGTAGGTACACAAACAGACACACACACACACATATAAAATTTATATACTGTACATTTTATATATGTACAATGTGTGTGTGTGTGTGTAACCAAAAAACAAACTGTTTCTGGGAAATTATAGCATACGGTTTAACAGTTTATTGATTTTTATTTACAATCTTGCAATTTCAACAAAACCTACATTAACTTTGTCTCTATCAATATTTGATTGCCATTTAGATAACCTAGTTTCCCTGGTGACATATTTATACTAGCCCAGTTCATACAACAATGTTCAAATGATTACGTTTTTAAGACAATAGAAACACATAAAGGTAATCAATAAATGTAAAATGTTATGACAACGCAGCTAAGCTCAGTAGGTAAGTGACAGTTCATTCAGCTGGCCGCAAAATCTCTCACACTGGCCCAGCCGTCCATATTGTTGAGCCCTGCAGTAAAGAGCTCAAACAGCCGACAATATGAAGGATAAAGTCATTAATGGAACAGCAGTTTCTGAGGAATATCATTAAAACACTGACAGATTATTACTGTCCATTTCCCTCAGTTTTAAGTCAAAATCCTTACAGAATCATTGCTTCTTAATCTGAGCAGATGTGTTAATGAAAGAGTGTTTTAATTGATTTACTTATTTTCACATTTTATTTTAGTTGTAATGTTTAACCAATCATAGTTGGAGTGTTATGAGTTGGGTGGGGTGGGTTTACAGTATGTTTGGGCGGCAGAGACAGATTTGGGTTTGTGCTCTGTGGTCAGGGAGTGGTGTTTAGAGAAGGAGGCGCTGGATCAATGGGGCCTGTGTGCATGTGTAAAATGCTGTAGTATATGTTTGTCTGTGTGAGGTGTGTGTTTGATAGACAAATCCAGATATTATGGGGTTTACTATAGTAGGCTAGTGGTGCACAAAATGATATTCATGAGCTACATGCAAAGATTTTTTTAAATTTATTATTATTTTTAAGAAGCAGATAAAGTTAAAAAGTGTCATATATAACATATGACTGTATTTAACTGTAAAAAAAAAAGTCAGTTCTGGGCATTGTTGATGAATATCTCCCCCTAGTGGCGGTCAGTAGCACTGCTGTAATCCCCAGAGATCGTCAGAAAACGATAAACAGAAAACACTACAGTTCAAACGTTTAGGGTCAGTAAGTTTTTCCTTGAAATAAATGAATATTTTCATACATCAAGGATGCATTAAATTGATCCAAAGTGACAAAAGATTTTTATTTGAAGTAAATACTGTTCTTTTGAACATTGTTCATCAAAGAATCCTGGGGCAAAAAGCATATTCTCAGCATATTAGAATAATTTCTGAAGGATCATATGACACTGAAGACTGGAGTAATGATGCTGAAAATTCAGCTTTGCATCACAGGAATAAATTATATTTTAAAATATAATAAAATAGAAAATTGTTCTTTTAATTTTAGAATTACTGTCATGTTACTGTTTTACTGTACTTTTAATTAAATGCAACATTAGTGAACATAAGAGACTTTAAAACATTAAAACAGCTTACCAACCCTACATTTTTGAATGTGTGTGTGTGTGTCTGTATATGTACATATTTATTTTTTTACCATTTATAATTCTGCTGCTTCGATGTGACAAATCAGTTGTTCAAAATGCAATTAGTATGAAGTCAGAGAAAACTTTTTGTATTAATATAAAATTGAGAAAATGTGGTTTAAAAGGTTTTTAGATGGAGATCATAAAATATTTGAGATGAATTAAAATTACTTTTCTACTCTCTTTAGGAATGAAGCGTCCGTTGAGTCCTGTTGAAGACGGGTCACTGATTGAACAGACTGGGCATGAGGGTGTGTCCTCTGAAGGGGTGGAGTTTACAAGACTGGAAGCCCCACCGATAAACTCTCGTCCGAAGCGGGAGCGCAAACACAGGTCGTACACACTCTGTGAAGTGTGCAACATTCAGCTGAACTCCGCAGCACAAGCACAGATACACTACAATGGCAAAACACACCAGAAAAGACTCAAACACATAAACAACAACAACACAGGTATGATATGTGTGTCTTTCTCTGGTGTTCCTGTCATAACTGGAGCTCAAAAACTGGAGCTTCATGGTTAACATTATCCACCCAAATTGGGCATGTTCCTGGATCAACATCCTGGAAGTGCTTATCTGGCAACAAATCGGTGACCTCTGATTTAGGGAATAGTTTTAAGCTACTGATTTGTTGTTCCAGGGCCAATAAATTATGTGTATCTGGGAACATGATTTATTAGGGTGAATCACACTGTGTACTGTATGTTCTTGTGCATGTTGCTTAACATGATTTACCCAAGCAGGACAACATTCCTATCAACCAATCAGATTTTAGGTGTAAGTTTAGATGTAGAGCTGGGGCAACAACATTTTTATCAGCCAATCATTTCCCTCTGATTTCAAGGGTTGCTTTGAGCAGGGGATTCTTAACTTTTTGATCCCACAGACCCCAAAAATGATAACTCAAATGACAGCCATATTTTAATGTATAAAGACCACATTTATACTGTGGAAAACGTTACCTGTAAAATATTTAGTTTCTATTAAAGGGGTCATATGATGCTGCTAAAAAGAACATTATTTTGTGTATTTGGTGTAATGAAATGTGTTTATGCGGTTTAAGGTTAAAAAAACACATTATTTTCCACATACTGTACATTATTGATTCTCCTCTATGCCCCACCTTCCTGAAACGCGTCGATTTTTACAAAGCTCATCGGTCTGAAAAAGTGAGGTGTGCTGTGATTGGCCAGCTATCTAGTGCGTTGTGATTGGCCGAATACCTCAAGCGTGTGACGGAAATGTTACGCCCCTTACCATATTGTGATGATGCCCTGTCAGGCCGGAGCAATGATTCAAAAACATGAAAACCCATTATAAACGAGGCATTCGTTGCATTCATTGGGGACATAATTATGTATTATAATGACTTATACTGTCTTTTTACGCGTTGCGTTGCATCGCGCCGTGTAAACATAAAACCATGTCTGCATTTGTGATCGGAGAAATGACAAACAACAAGCACTACTCTACACTGCCCAAAAAACTCGCTTTAAATAAAAAAATATAAAAGACGTACTTACAGTCTTTGAGTCAGAACAGCCGGCATTGTAGTCTACTCTTCCAGGAAACAGTCCTCCATAAAATGTGCTGCACACATCCGAATATTTGGGATGAAGTGTTCTGGAACAGTGTTGTAAATACAACTTAACCACTGATTTCTAGTCATGTCCATTTTTTGGAAAGCCAAACAAAGTAGTTTCGCTTTCACAACGAAACAGCGTCACACACCACGGCCTACAGTCAGCAGAGGCCGGGGGATAAAGTGAGGAACGGCGGGAGGGTTAGAGTGAGTACTGAGCAGAGGAGTGGCCTTGAGAACGGCACGGCTGGCAATTTCGGCGAAGGAGCGTCCGGAAGGACATGTGACGACTCCGGTCTGGACTCTTCGTCCACGGTAAAAGCCGATCCGGCGATCCACAGCGCAAAGTTGTAGTATTTCCTCAGCGACCAGCACGGATCAGCTCTAGGCATGACGAAGCAGATATCGTCCTCTTTTGGAAGACCAAACAAAGTAGTTTCGCTTTCACAACGAAGCACACAGCGTCTTTAGGACATGGTGGTGGCGGCAACAACAAAACTACAGTGAGAATAAAAGTTACGCCTTCTTTCTTTGCGTGAACATTTGGGCGGCGTTATGCAAATCTTCCCACATAGCGACGTAGGTATGTGGGGGCGTGTTAGAACGAGTCGTTATAGGTAGGCGTGGCTGACTCTTAACTTTTATAAAGAATATCTCTTTGGATTTGAGACTTTAGTCTTTGCAACTTTACAGATCTTCTTTATGCACCAAGAGCTTGTAACACTCCAAAGAGAAAGGAAAAATTTAAATCGCATCATATGACCCCTTTAAGCTAACACTGATTTTCTACCTACTATTAGGTTACTGTTAGATGTATAAACCTGAAGAAAATGTTTAAAACTATGGCTGTAAGTCAAAGACATTTTTATTTTATTTTATTTTATTTATTTTTTAATGTCATTTTATTTTATATGTCAATTTATTTAAATTTTATTTATTTTATTTTTATTATATTTTATATATTTTATTTCACCCTTAAGTTAGGGGTACAAGTTGTAATAGGGTTTCCCCTATGATTGTGATAGCAATGTTGCTTCAGGACCAACAAAGATTGTTGATCCAGGAACATGTTCAACTTGGCTAAATCATGTCACGCTATTTATGTCCAAACATTTAACACACAATATTTAATAAATGCTGTGTTTAGATTTTTTGGTCACCTAATATTTTTTTCCTAATATTAGTATTAAATATGTAGAAACAATTTCTACACAAATCTGTATCTTTGCCAGTGCCACAGGACGTATCAACTTGGTGTTATTGACAAATTCATATTTATATGACATGCATACAGCTTTAAAAACATAATCAACCACCTTCATGTTGTCAGCTGGGGGTCTGACAGGCATCTTCATGTAATTCATACCCTTAGACCTCATTGTGTCCGTCTGCAGTTAATATGTGATTTTGACTCGACTCGCTTTTATGTTTCCATGGTGATGCGGCTTTAAAGCCCAGCTGATAGGTCAGGAAGGAGCAGTAAGGAGCTGTAAGTCTAGATGTCGGTCTGGAGATAATTGCAGGAGAGAAAGTTAGGCAGCTGGTGGCAGCTTTGTGTCGTGCAGCGTTATTTCCCCAGAAATGGGTGGAGTCAGACAGAATCACGTGATTGGAGGTGGAATTTGCCAAATTATTTGAACAACAGTAGAATAATCCAGTAACACGTTTGTCCTCGCACACAAAAACAGAGCTCTGCATAAACCTGCACAGACAGCAAGTACATGCAAATGCCACACACTCGAGACACAGGCCTGCAAACATAATTTCCCTTCTCTTGTAATGCAAATGTGAAATTAAAGCTAACTTCCATGCGGTTGATTCTTACACATAAAGACACACGCATGCACGGCCAATCATATGAGCAGCAGTCAGACCCACTTCAGGTGCCGGCTCTCATACAAATAGGCCATAATTACATAGCAACCGAACATGTTCACCATGGAAATGCTCAACGTGGCGACGCCCCCTTCAGCAACGGGGTACAGGCACTCACGGTCTCAGAGCCATCTAGATTTTATGCAGTTTTTGTGTGCGAGCGTGTCAGGGTGCACGATTCTACATGGTGAAGCTGTATGTTGTTTACGGGGAACTTCTGAAATGCTTGCCTATGTGTGAGTGTGCGTGTTTGCATTCAAGCACTAAGATATAAAGGCTCATTGATTAGCCATTCTGCTAATGTTCGACAGCATAATAGAAGTCAAATTAGACTGGACAACCTTTCCCATGAGCTTACAGCAATGCCTGAAGCCTAACTGAAGCTACACACACATAACACATCTGCTTGCATACACAAAACTGTGACTGACTCCTTCAGTACTGTATGCATCTTTCTCATTTTAAATGGACGGCACTATACAGCACAGTTCAGTAGCCAGTAATGCTGCATCATTAGCTACAGTTCCTTAATTTTGTGAGAGAATCAAAACATTTCGAACATGAGCAAGAAGAAATAAAAATGTGGTCATTTTGGGTAATAGCCATTTTTGAGAGTAATGTAATTGGTTGTCCATGATAAATAAATACAAATAAACAAATGCCATAAACACAAATTAATTTTTTGAATTTATTTAAATGCATTAAAAATATTGACAATTACTGTCTTTTTAAAAATATTTTCTAATGAAAGGCAATGCATTATTAAACAAATTATTTGAGTGAATGATTCAGTGATTCACTATTAAAACAGTCATTTGAGCTGTATCCAAATATGCATACTTGCCTACTATTTACTACACAAAAAAGAGCATGTCCAAATTTACAGTATTCATAAAACTGCAGATGAAAGTACCCAGATTCCCTATTATTACAGGTGATATTTTGTGCATCCGATGGATGCTCAAATATCCCATGAGGCCACAGGAGAGGAGTTGTGAATATTATGTGACCTACCAGCGTTGCATTGTTTTGCTACCAAATCCTACATGGTGGATGTAGTAAATCTGAATTTCATTTATACTACACACACATACATACTATAAAACATAATTTTTAACAGTCACTTAGTAATTACTTATTGCTTAAAAATAATACAATTATTCTTTAATTATTTGACTTGCAGCTTGTCTGGGACACTGCATGGGAACTGTTGTGTAATATACTGTAAGGCAGGGGTCTCCAAACGTTTTTACACCACGAAGCGGTTAAGTTTTCAAAATATTATCGGTCCAAGCGTTTTAATTGGCTTTCCTACCTGCCTGTCAATGTATGTATTAGCATACCTCTGCGCACCCGGTTCGCACAGACAGGATACGTCATCAGCGCGTTCACGCACGCTGTGCAGACAGAGCGAGAATGGCAGACAAACATCAACAACCCGATCTTCCTTCCTGGTATTGTAGTAGTACTTTTAAAGTTTTCTCACCGGTGAATGACACATGATGTAGCCCAGTGGTTCCCAATTCCAGTCCTCACAACCCCCTCTACTGCCACGACTCCTGAAAAACTTTTTCATTCCATGTCACCCCATCAAGCTCTCGCTGGATCCGCTCCTCTGCTATCAATGAGAGGAACGTCTGTACTTCCTCAACAGACCACAAAACCACTTTTTGGTTGTTAAAAAAAGGTGCGCTCATTCAAACGGTTACGTTCGGTCCTTCACTGGCTGTGCTGATTTAAATCTAGTGGTTCTGTTGTGTTTGTGTCACAAGTTCAGTGATGATTCTCCATGATCCGATGATTCTGATCAGTGATCAGCAGAGTTTACACGTCATGTTATGGTAACGGTACGGTTCACTTGGAACCTCAACCGAGGTGGTACTAAAAAAAGTACCAGGTAACAGGCACTGTACCCAGTGGAAAACCCCCCAAAAGTGAACCATGAAGCCGTACCATGCAGTGGAAAAGCGCCGTTAACCGGCTCGTTAGAAGTG